TTCAAAAGGAATTGGTGTATTTGTATTAATAGTAGAATTGGTTTTGAATACAAAATTAGTTAAAAATTTAGAATATTGGCCTGCGAGAGTTTTGAGCAAGTATTTGAAAGAGTATTTAGAAGAAGTTTTGTTTGAGGAGGTAAATTGAATAATTTTGCTAGAAGCAAAATCGATGAGATGAGGTTTAATGAAAGTAAAAATTTGTTGAGCAAGAGGTGTATTAAGTTTGGTGTTATTCTCCATTTCTTTGGTAACCAGAAAGGTTTTAAACTAGTCGAGATTATTAGAGATATCATATTTGTTTAATTTGTTATTGTTGTTGTTATTGTTGTTATTATTGTTGTTGTTATTGTTGTTGTTGCTATTATCATTACTATTATTGTTATTGTTATTATTATTGTTGTAGTTTTGGTTGCTATTATTTTGGTTTTGGGTATTTGGTTTTTTGGGAATTTTTAGAGATTTGTAGCGATGAAGTTTCTCTACTGATGTTATGTGCTTAAGAGTAAAGATAATTGCAACATTTTTTTGTTCATCAGTAAGTGGTTTAGTTTGGGTAAGAGGTTTAATTGGAATATCAGTAATTTTTGGAATGCAAGTACAGTAAATAAGTCAAGTTTTGAAGAGTACAGAAGTTGTGTAGTCAGATGCATATTTATTGTCAGTAGTGTAAACACATGGTAAATTTTTAATTCTGCAGATAATACAGGTATGTGGGTGTTGAGAGTATGCTTGAATAGTTGTAGGAGTTATATCAGTTTTGAATTTTGGAAAGAGAATAGTAGAAGTAGGTCAAGTAATAGGAGAGGAAATAAGCTCTTCAGTAATTTTTCTGTAGGCCTTTGAAGAGATTGTATTTGGAGAAATATCCATTGCTTCAGAATTTCCAGAGTAGTATGAGTTAAAGTATAATAGCAAGAAGTAAAACTTATATGATATTGATCGCAGAAGCATGTAGCAGTAATAGGTTGGAGGGGAACAAGAAATTAGTGAAGTTTTTTATTATTCCCTTCACAGTGAGTAGGTCTAATATTGTGTGCAAGAACATGAAGAGAAGATGTTTTATTTTTATTCATTACTACTCCAAAACAGTCTCTGTACTTAGAGTAGTAATAATCGATATCATATGAGTTAGGTTCCTGACTGGTAAGAGTAGGCATGTTTAGGACTTAGAGGGATGAGATCAAGAAGAGGTATGTGAAGTAGTATTATTTGTTTTGTATAATATGTGTAACATAATGTGATACAAAGTGTGACTAGTATGGCTAGTGTAGCTTGGTAGCTAGTATGACTAGTATGGCAAGTATAGTACGAGGTACAAATATGTAATACTAAGATAAAAATAGATTAGGTTTAGTACTATATGTAGTACAAATTAGAAAGAAAACAAATAAGTAATTAATTAATTTGTGTTAAATTAAAATGAACTAAAATAGAAATTGGTAATTGTTGAGTGAACAATAATTTTTTCTGGGCTATCACCTGACCCAGTTTTGGATTTAGAGGAGGTAAAGGAGAAAAAGTAAAAAATAAAGTAAATTTTAAGAAAAAGTCTTAAAGCAGTTTTTTGTAGGTAAAATACTGAGTTTTGGTCCGTTTTGAGTGAAATTTATATTAAAATAAAGCTCAGAGTGAGCTAAGTGCAACTCTATTAATGAAAAAGAGTAGTTGACTTAGTGAGAAATTGAGAAAAGTTTAGAAGAATAGTTTAATAGTTTAAATAAAATATCTCAGTGAGTTTAGGTCCAAGAGATATGAAACTAGGCTACCCTGAAGCAGAATATTGTGTAGAACAATTTTGCATAGTAGTCTAAAGGTTGTTTACTTAATAAAATTTTTAGTTATGACAAAATGTTTTTGAGAAGTTTTGGTACAAGTGATCTACAAGAAGAGTTAGTGATTTGTGTCTCCATTATACAGACTGATTATATTTTGTAATTTATCTATTATAATTACAACTATAAAATTGTTATAAACAGAAAGCAATATACTATTAGATGAATTATATTAGTTTAGTTAGTGAAGTGCTTGCTAGTATATTCTTTTATATATTTTGGTTCTGTAATTATTTTTTCAAGTATAATAATTTTTTAAAAATCTATTTTTTGCTTTTTATATTTTAGAATACTATCTAGTATTTTTGATATATTATTCTAGAAGTCATTATATATTTTGTTAACAAAAAATTTTATTCTTTTTGTTTGTTTAAAATTTAGTTTAAAGCTTTTTGCTCTTCAGAGTTTATCTCTTTTTTTATATAGAATTGCTTTAAAAGGTAAGTTGAAAGTTAATAAATTGATATCTATTATAAGTAAAATATTTTGAACTATTAATTTATTTACTTTATTATATGTTTATTGATTTTTTGTATAGTACTTTAGATTAATATTAAAATATTCACTATTTGCTATATATATTAAACTTTTTTAATATGAATTAGTATTTAGTAAAGTAGGGTTGCTTTTAATAAAAAGTATAGAACTATTTATTTGTATTATATAAAAATAGAATTAATTTATTTGCTGCTTACTTTACTATATTGATCTAGTTATTTTATAATTTGTTTAATATTGTTGAGTTAATTATAGTTTTATGCTAAGTTTTTCTTATATCTCAATACTAATTAAGGTTTTGAATTCTTTCTATTAATTATTATAAAATGTATCTATAGTGTTTTGTATCTATTATATACTTTTATTATGTTTTTTAAATTTTCTAAGTTTTTATAAGTTTTATCATAGAAATTTTTGGCTTAAATTTTTTTATCTTAGGGTTAGTTTTTAAGTTAGTATTAGGGTTTGAAAAAGGTTTTCAGAGATATAGAACATTTTTACTTAGAACACCTTATACTAATTAATTAGTTAGTTTTTGAGATAATGCATATATAGATATAAAATACTATAGGTGCATTTTAGTAAAATTTCTTTCTATTATTCTTTTATTAATTTATTATATTTATAAAATTTGTGCTTATGCTTTTTTTATTATTTTTGTTTTGGAGTAAAATTTGTATACTATGTAGTTGTTATTATACAATAATTACTATTTGTAATATTATATAAATTAATTAGTTCTAGTATCTCTATATCTAGTGTAAGTTTAAAAATAATTAAATATTATTAATTTAGCTTGATAGATAATTTTATTACTATATAGAAGTTGTAATATTATAAAATTATAGTAAATTGTTTAGACTTAGAATTTCTAAGTATGTAAATAAAATTTTATATTTATTTTTGAGAAGATAGTTAGTATTAAAGTCTCTTATAATTATGCATTACTAGTTTTTTGTTTTTGTCTCTGTTATTCAAGAATTAATTACTTTTTGTGTACTAAGTACTAACTTTAGATGATTTGTTAGAATATAGATTGAAATGAATCTTATTTTATTATTTTTAAAAAACCAAAGATCAACAAATATAACTGTGCTAGAAAAGTTTCTAGTATTATTAATATATAAACTAATTAAGATATATATTGCAAATGCAGTTTCTAAAGCAGCTTCATGCTATGTATTATGTTTAAGTATAAAGTTAGATGAGAAAATTTTGTATAAAAAGTTAGTTAATGATGTTAAGTTGTCTATTTTGAGTTTGGTTTCTATTATTAAAACTATATGAAATTATTTTTTTTTCACAGTATATTAGCTAGTTATATAATTTAAATCTGTTGTTTAATCCTTGAACATTGTGTGTTGCAAAGTTGATTTTCTCTGGAGTTTTTTCTTTAATCATTTTTGTTATTTTCTGTGCTGACTTCCATTGCTGTATCGATTTGAGTATGCTGTAGATTGTTATTGTCAAAAATCTCCCAACTAGGCTCTGAGAAGTCTGATAAGTCTAAAATGAATAGAGTTTACGAAATTAAGCTCCACTGATCTTGTATAACATCCTAAAATGCATACAAGTAGCATTATGTATGTTATCAGTTTTGTTTGGACTATAACCTGATATTATATTCGGTATTGGAAGAAGGTTGAACCTTTTTTATTAAGCAATTTAATAGATTAATACAAGATAATTTTTTCTAAAGATAAAGTGACAATTTTAAATATTTTGGAAATTACTTAATACATGGAAGTTCTTGTTATGTATAAAGGCATATGATCTCAATTGAATGTGTAAGTGCTACGAAGTCTTGAAAGTTGAGTTGAGGGACCAGTGCTAGCCAAGAAAGGCTAGCAGGACAGTTGATGCTGAACACTATGGTGATAGGTGGTACTAAGTGAGGAACCGTAAGGATCACGCTGCCTCTACAAATGTATAATATTTGCATAAGAGTACAATGGTAGTATAGTATTGGAATATAAATAAAGCTGGCGCTATAGTAGTGTAATAAGAGTTAGGTTAAGCTCGCTCGAGGATTGATTAGTCCAAAGTTTCTGATACACATATATATAATTAATCTATGATATTTGCGATGCATGTATCTACACAAATTAACTGTTAATTTAAATAAAGTACCAGAGACCAAGTGTGTCGGCTTAAAAAAAATTCTGCAATTTAAAATTTAGTTTCATTTGTAATCAAACTTTAAAAAATTTTAATCGAGTCAGAATACTGTATTAATATAATTTTTTTAAGTTAGATTGCTAACAAAAATCAATAGATTTTATTACATTATTGAATTCTTTGTGTAATATAAATAAAGTACCAGAGATCAAGTGTTTCGCTTAAAAATAATTCTGCAATTAAAAAGTTAGTTTAATTTGTAATCTAACTTTAAAAAATTTTAATCGACTCAGAATATTAATATAATTTTTTTAAGTATTGATTGCTATGTGATCCAAACAAAAATCAATAGATTTTATTACGTGATTGAATTCTTTTATTCTTATAATATTGCAAGTCCCATTATTTGAATGCAAGATTCACGCCTCTTTGTATTTTTATTAGTTGTATAAATACATGCCTTTCTGTTTTTTTAAAGATTTACTTTTTTATTGTTTTATATCATAGTTTACTTTAATCTTATATTTCATGGTTCTTTTTTTTAATTCAATGGCTCCCAGATATCTTCTTTTTTTTTTGTTTCCTTTATTCCTCGTTTCTGTTATATCTTCACAATGCGTTGCTACAGTCTATCCCGCTTGCTACTCTGGCACTGCATGTAAATGTCCTCAACCTCCAAGTGCCCTTCCACAGGGCGAATATTGCGGTGGTCAAATCAGTAAATAATTTAATATTAGTCATATTATTATACTATTTGTTAAAATTATATTTTTTGCTTTTAGGATGTGATCCTTGCCATGTTTACGAATGTAATCCTCAAGGTGGAACCTGTGATTATGGTTATCGAGACTCTTGTACACAATGTGATGCTTTAACTTGTTCACTATCAATACCAACACCAAAACCAATACCAATAACTGAACCACCACTAAAATCAACAACAAATCCACCACCAAAACCAACATCATCAACAACAAAATTAGTGACAACCCCAAATCCAAATCCAATAAAACCAAGCTGTAATGATGTTGTAACGCAAAATATTTTTCAAGGTATTTGTGCTGCGGTTACGACAAGCGCGACGTTTCTCCAAAGCATAGGTTTTCAAACAATTCTAGAATTAATTAACAGCTGTGTTGTTATAGCGCCATTAGGATTAGAAACTTTTGGTGGTGCTGAAGTTGTATGTGCAGCTATTGTAGGTTTAGGAGCAGCTGTACTCGTTGAAAGTACTGTATGTAATGATGCATGGAACAATTTTTGTCAAAACTCACTTGAGATGTTTTATGTGATTTAACATTGCTTTAATTATTAAACTTATACAAAAAATTCAATAGTTTAGCAAAAAATTGTAATACTTCTTACTGATATGTTTTGTATAATATTAAAATTAAAATCTTCGTATCATTTACTGCGCTTTTCAAATTACTGTGATCAGCAGATAATTTTAGCACTTTCAATAATTAAACCAGAACATGATCATGTAGGCGCTTTGAATTAATAGTAAAAATATCTATATTAGTTAACTAACTTGCACTTACATTATAATCTTCTTAATTACTAAAGATTGAACCCAAGTAGAAATGAGTACTGCAAAGCAAAACCTGCAATAATTATAATTTTCATTTAGCCCTTGTTAGAATTGTGGTATTACATAATTAATCACTATTATTATCAGTATTCGATCTTTTCGTTAATACATATTAAATTGGTAATTAATATGTAATGTCAAAATCTAACAGAGGTTAAGTTCGCTAAAGTCAATATAATTATTACAGATTTTTGTTTTGCAGCGTAGCGAACTTTATTGTGATTATTTAATTTTTGAAATAAATCATGTTTGAATGTTAATGACCCGCTTGTGAAGTCACAAGGCGGTATATTATCGCAAGTCACTGGATTTTCCACATGACAGTAGGTCTCTGAAATGCAAAAGTTTCAAAATTGATAGATCAGCTGTTACAATTTTTGATACTATTGTAGATTGGGTAACGTTGCACGGTTTAGCTCCAATGGTTTGGACGCGATGGCATCTCGCTTAACCAGATAGTTGGGAATAAAGGAAAGGCAGAGATCATGTTTTATCTTACTTTATCAAGAAGGACGTTAACTCCTCTCTTTATTAAATGAGACAGTCTGTGCTTTTATACATTTTACGATCTTAAGAGGCCTGACCTGTTAGAGGCT